AGAAATGCCATTGAAGTGCAGTAATGATATCATAAGAACATGGACTCTCCTTATGTCAGGAGAGACATCTCCTGACATAACACCTACGCTAAAAGAATTTATCCAAAAAATTCACTCTTAGAAGAATTAAACTCAAATGAAACGTGTAAATGTCCCGTTTTGCCTGATTTAGCCGATATATACTTACTATGAATCGGATCTGGATTTGTACGAACATATGACCATGTATGTGTAATAAGATCAAATGCTGGTAACTACAAAAATTCCAATTTTAATAAATAAAAACTTATAAATACTTTGATAAACATACATTTTCAAGTGTGAAAGATACACCCGAACTTCCACCACCACCAAATAGAAATATTTTATTATCATATAAATATACTTCTTGTCGATATCTTATATTAATTTAAAGCAAAACCAAGAACAAAAAAAAAACAATATAATGAAAAATTTATATTCTATCAAAAATTTTCTTACCTTCCATTTTCAGTAAAATCTTCTATTTCATCAAATGTATATCCAATTTGTGTACATACTAATGTTGGTAAATGTACATCATAGACATTTGTATTGTAATTCCATCGATTCGTACCACATAATATATATAAATGATCATTTTTTACAATCATACTCTAATTAAAAAAGAAAATCTTGATTTTTATGAATAACACATAAATACAAAAGAAAAAAAATCTTACTCCTAGACCTCACATCAGATGAGGTCTAAATTCAAATCAGATTCTACTTACCGCTCCGTAAACACCCTCTGGTTGCTGATTAAGGAATTCACATCGAGTCCAATGACGTCGTTTTAAATCAAGTATAAATAATTCATTAGAAACATTTTGACCAAATGGAAATCCTGTACCGCCGTAAACAAGTACTACATTGCGATATAAATACACTAGAATATAATAAAAAATAATGATTGATTAAACAAATAAAAATAAATCTACTTGAATGTGAAGCAAGTGTTAAATTTGGACGATCACCTGTTGTTGTTTCAAGTGTCCATTGTCGAAGTGCATAATTAAATCGCCAAAGCTAAACAAAAAAAAAAAAAAAACAATTAAGATTAATCAATAAAATATTTTTCCTACCTCGTTAAACATACATTGTTGTTGCAAGTTACCTGGTGGATAATAACCACCCCATATCCAAAAATCTGATGCTGTAGCAATAGCACGATGACCTGAACGTGGATGTGGTTTATTTATAGGATCTAATGGTAAAATTTCAACGAATTGCATTAAATTAATTGATGATATATATTTTGTTGATAAAGAAAAATTTCGTTTTGATCGTTTTGTATGTATTGCATCATCTGTTTTAGATGATTCAATTGATTCTCTTGAATTTTTTTGATTTGTTGTTGGATCGTTAGCCATTATTAATAAAAATAACAAACAAATAATAACATTATTAATTTACAAGCAAAAGAAAAGACAACCAATTGAAATAAGTATATAACTAAAAACAAACAAAATAATTTTCATATAATGAATACAAAATATTAGGTAGACATGTATAAGGTTATCCTACTGTATCATAGAATTCCTATGAAAGATCCTTATCCGATGTATATGTGGGAAAAAAAAATATCTTTTTACAATAAGACTAACAAATCATACATCATTCGATGATGATTCTAAATATGAAGTTAATCTTCAATAAAAGTATTTCTATGTCGAGAAGAATGAATTTCATCTTGAAAACCTATAACTCAATTGCCGAATACTTGCACTAATACCATATTATTNGATAAGGATACATTTATTCTGGCTCAAACTTTGAGGAGTTTCTAGTGCTTATAAGGCATATCTATGGACAAAATTTCAGTTTGAAATTCGATCATTCAGGTACTCAGAAGAATCTTATGCCTATAAGCCAAAATCGAGTAAAAGGCCCATAACTCGACAACAGAAGGCTGGAAAACCAAACCATTCTAGGGCTTTTAATAACTCACTGAGATCTATTGTTTGCGCACATGCCCGATCCAAAAGCGATTTGACAGTTGAATATGTTCCCTCGTAAGTTACCAGTATTCGAGACTACTAGCTGATTAGGATAGTTGTATTGGATTCAAAAAGAAAGTATGCTACCTAATTTTACTCTTGAAAAATAATCACAGTTTTTTTTTTGTTTTGATCTAAGAACTCCTCAATAATTATTTCAACATTGAAATCATTAATACAACTAGCAAGTCTTGGTGTCACGTTTAATTATGAGGAATATGAGAGATACGATATTTAATTTATTCACAACTAAATGTAATCATATAACATGAATGATTTTCTCTTATATACACATACAAGGTTAGACTGGGAATATTCCAACATGATTTCGGAAAACATAAAGAAAATGAAAAATGAAACTCGGAAATTTTCAACATCTCTATGCAATAACTATACGGAAAAATCCCATGAGTCAACTATGTCACAATAGCCAATACCAAAACTATCTTTAAACATTCGCATATTTTTTGCCTCTAGATAAATTCATCACATTAGATATTTAAATTCTCTTGTTTAAAATGTAATCAAATGAATTGCTTAATCTGTAAATGAATTATATTAAAATTTTTATTCGAATAATTATTAAAAACATACGGTAATGATTGTTGATAGAAAACATAGAATATAGAAATTTTTTGTTGATTATTATCATCAAAATATGATGAAAGACATGAATGTCCAAAATGAATTAAACCTTGTGCATGACAATATTGAGCATTTAATAAATCATTACAACATGGTGAACATCCATCACCAACAAGATATATTTCGATATTTCTATTATGAATAGATGATGTTAATATATCTATTAAATCTTGTACTTTATCAAGATCTTCATCGGGTACTTGTAATGCAATAATATTAAAATTATTTTCTTCAATCCATTTTATACAAGAATTAATTTCAAATTTATCCATCTGAAATATATATATTGAATAAGGAATAGATATACATATTTATTTCTTTATTTTTATTTTCGTTTTCTTTGCTTCATTTACAAAAAAAAAAAACTCATGAGCTATCTACGAATGATTGGAACAAAGACAAAACGAGAAGAATAATGAATTTTACGGCAAAAAGAGAAATTTAAATGTTTGTCTTTGATCTGACTTGCATAAGAAAAATATTTATTTATTTATTATTCCATGGTTGAGATGATGATGATGACGCAGATGATGGTCGAGGTCGTTTATTAGCATTATTAGAATCAAATGCTGGATCATAAGGACGTTTTTCACCACCAAGTTGCATTAATGATGGTGGATGATTAAGACCATAAGGTGGTTGTTGAGGATAAGGATTCGATGGTGGTGGAACATTATTATAATGACTACTGCGTTGTTGTGAACCATATGGTGGTCGATTTGCTGCAGATGCTGATGCTGATGGTGGCGGTGGTGCAGGATGATCATATGGATTAGAAGGTGGTGGAGGTTTACGATCAACATCTAAATCAACAAATAAAGTAAAACACTGTAAATACAATTCCTGTGAGACTAAAACGTAAAACACGATGTAGTTGCTGCTACTGCTAATCACAGAGAGATTGATTTATTCTACCTATTTTTTTTGGTCACCATTATTTTACTTAATCCTCGAAAATGCAATAAGGAAATAGTTCATATACTATAACAGGACGTTATTGACATACAGTCTTTGATCGCATATCACCGACATCTGCCACTGGAGCCCATCAGATCCGCACTTTGATTTCCTCAGTGAAATTCTCTAATCAGAATTGGATAATTGCCGAGAAGATAGCACATACATTTCTCCGATTTTTTGTATTCTGTGACTAGCACATCCTACATATTTCTCAGATGAATAGAGTTCATCGAATTCAAAGTTTTCGGATTTGAGCCCGACCAGATCAACTCAATGGATCCTATCTGTCACGGCCTGCGATGATTTCTCGCTACGGTCTGTGAAAAAGAGTTAGGCGGTTCCGAACTTTTATCCTTGTACTTCAACACTCCTTTTAGAACGTGTTTTGAAAAAGAAAAATGATGAAAAACAGTAAAACTGAATATTACTATGTTGAACAGGTGGAAGTGGTGGTGGTTGTTGTGATGATCGATTTGGATGTGTTGCTGGTGGTTGTGGTCCAGGTCGTGCTTGTTGTGGTGGATAACGAGAATGTTGATTGTAATTATTATTTGCATGATGAGCTGGATAATGAGCAGTTGGTGGATGTTGAAATGATGGAGGTCGAGATGTTGTTGATGACGATGCATTATGTGGTGGCATTGGTGGACGATTTGATGATGAAAATGGTGGAGCTACTGATGGTTCTCGTTTTATAGGCATAGATGATGATTGAGATTGAGGAGGAAGTTGTGTTGATGGTGGTTGTGGTGGTTGACCAGTAGGTCGATTTGTTTGTAATGATGTTTGGTTTTGTCTATGTTCAATTCTATCACGTATAGAACCTTGTGGTACAACACTATCATATATATCTGGTACACGTGGTGGAATATTACTTGCTGATGGATGGTGCTGAGATGATGGTGTACCATCATTTGATCCTGCTTGTGGTTGCTTTAAAAACGAAAAATTAAGAAAAATTAAAAATAAAATAATAAAAACAAACTCTTTCATTTTGATAAACAAGTTTTCGTTTAATTTTATCTGGACATTTTTCATATATAGCAAGAAATTCATCAGCAAGATCTAAATATAATAAAAATAAATTTTTCACTTTTTTTAATGTTAATTCAAAAATCATATTTTATTTACCTCCAAGTTGTTTTTCAGTAAATGATTCATTAACAAGATGAAACCAACGTTTATTTGATGTATTTTCTGTTACTGTGCCATCAGATCCATTCCGAGGTGTTGTTACTGGTGCTGGCGATGGAATCTATATAATAATTATTTATTAAGAAATTTAATTAAATAATATTTTATTTTATATTTACTTCAATTTTAAGCCAAGCAGCAGCCAAATGTATACAAAAACAGGCAATAAGATCAGGTGGATATTTGACACAAAATGATGTCAATAAAATACTAGAAGAAAGGATTAGGTGAATTATGTGTGTTTGTTCACAACAAAATCACCACCTTTTTGTTGCTAAATAATAAGCCGTTTGAGCAAGCTCACGAGGTGCTAAAAGAAATTAATATTAGAATTTTCATCATATATATATATTTAAAATTATTCTCACTTTTTTCTGGTAACGACTGTATTTGACCTAGAAATAGATTATAAACGTTTAAATGAACAAATTTTTTAGAAAAAATCTAATGATAAACCTATAAAATTTTAACATGCTCAATTACATGGTAAGTCATTTTTATGGAGCATATTGACATAACTTATTTTCTATTAATGGAAAATCTCTAAGGGGACTTTTACTATAAACTCCTATGAAGAAAGTTTTAACGCATGAAAATATTTATCTCTCACTAAGAAATTTCTCTAGATGGTTCGCTCCCTACCGATCTTTTTGTCTGGAAATGTGATATAGTGAAGCTATCGAATTATTATTATGCCTGTTTTCAAGAGATTTCTATTTGGACTTCAGATTATTGTTAGAATCGTCTTTTTAAAAATTTTGTACGAAAATTATTTCCAATTAAAGATTTCAGAATTTTTATATTTCGTACCTTCAACTTATGAACTTTTCAAAACTCATATCCCTGAAATATTAAGTCTAAAAACTCTCAAAACCTTTAAGTGGTACTAGTTTCAGATCAAAATTCAACAAGATAATTCTACCGTAAATTTGAAGTTCTCTACAAAAATATTAAAAACTTAATAGCTCCGCGTTGCCTTGCAAAAGAATAAGTTACGTTTGAAACGAGACTTCGCTGATTATCAAGTTTCTTTTGAGACCAGAAAAATGATAAAATGACTCATGCACATAGGTCTTCCATCTCGAGTTCGAGCCATTTTACTTCCTGTTTGCCCATTGAGAGGTCTAATGCTAACTAGAATGCAGTAAAAAATTTCATTGTAAGCGAGCGTTTTGTTTTTGCCCACGGGTTAGTACTGAAACTGGATCAGAACATCTAGGTTTCGACACGCTTAACACCGATATTCAAAAGCCAAAAAAAACTATCTCGTATATTTCGGGCGATTATACAATTCCACTGAGAGGGTCAAAGTACAAGTCCAAATCCGACAGATTCTAAGGAAGATCTATGGACATGAGTTGCTCAATTGCTTATTAGTAGGAATCCAAATCGTTTTTTTAAGTTATTACTCGAAGCCTCCTAATTTATCAAAATATTCTTTTTTTCTATCTAAAAATCTTTACTTCCAAGTGCTTGAATTGTTTTAATAATAATTGAATGTGGATGATCAACCATTAATGAAAATCCTATATATATAAAGATAAATATATTTATGTAACTAAGTTTATTGGGTTTTTTTTGTTTCCATTTACCTAATGTCGAAAGGAGAATATTTTCATGTAAAACAATATCATCAGCATATTGTTCAATCATCTAAACATAGACAAAACTAAATAATACAATTGTTTAATTAATATTACTTCTTTTGTAAGTTCTTCAGCTTTTTTTCTTCGTAATACTTTTCCTGTATTCTCAATAACATCCCGTAATGTACGAGGAAATTCTTCGACTTTACATGCAAGAAACAATGAAGCCGCACATATTCTCTAATCATATACAAAAAAAAAAAACATATTTATTCGATAGTTATCTTTGGTTTTTATTTACTTGACGTGTAAATCTTTGAAATGAATTAATCATATAAAAACGATGCATATAAACAACAGCTGTATTAATACAATAATGTGGTCTTAAAAAAAAATAAAACGAAAGAATAAAAAAAAAAGAATTTTCTTAATAATATATAAGATACATACACTTTTAAATTTGTACCTAATTCATAAATAAAGACAGCTGCGTGTTGTCTTAAAGCTAATTCTTCTTCAGGTGGTATTCCATTACGATTTGATGGTGTTGAAGTAAATTTATCGGCCGAAAATATCCAATTAAATCTTGCTTTTGGTAATGCTGGAGCGGACGTATTTGTTGGTGTTGTTTGCATTTTAATTGTTTAACAAACTTGATGAATGAAGAAAGAATGTCGACAAGAATGAATTGTTGGGAAAGAGTATGAGTCATATCATATATAAAGAGACAATCAATTTGACTTAAACGTTGATTGTAGCGATAAAATTTTCGTTAGAGGATCAATAAGAACCTATAAAAAGATGGCAAGACATATTTTTTTATTCGTCGTAATTGAAAGCAATCAGATTTAAGAAAAATTTTAAGAAAAAGAAAATACGTATATTCATAATTTTGACAAAATAATTATTGATGCTCATAGGATGAATGATGTAATGGATTTTTTCATGTATGATTAATAAAAACTTGACAAATTTTGATGAATTCCTATAAAATTAGATAAATCTAATCATTGAAAATCTTATATTCATATTTATTAAAATCAATATGTGAAATAAATTTTTTAAGAATAAAAAAGGCTTTTCATAATTTTTTTCTACTTGTTAGTCAAAAAAGTTCAATACTTAAGACAAAAAATATTATTCATTAAGACTAGTGAAATCATTAAAAGTAATAAAAATAAAGAATTGATCTTTATTGAAAAAAACTAATATTATCAAAGCAATGATTGATGCAAAAGGTGCTTTGTACGCTCAGTACTTTCAACCTTCTAGAGCGATACGACATTATGATCAATGTTTTATCCAACGTATGACTAATAGTGTGCATTCAAGCAAACAGGTGAAAAACGAAGGCTGTCCTTTCATCGATTCAAATAATGATCAATATACTTTGTGACATAGTCTATTTAATAGCGTATATTATTTTTTGCTACGAATTTTAAGTAGAATGGAAGAGCCTTAATTGAAAAATTAGCTTAACATCACTGGCATTGATGAGAAAATCAATTTTTGGACAAAATTAAACCACTTGGTAGGCACAACCAGTAGACATTCTGAATTTAGATATCATTTGATATTAATCTTCGAAAAAATCTTTTCAACTTGACAGTATAGATTTTTGAGAAAAAAAAAGTGAAAGCTTTTTTTTTTTGAACTAATTCTCAGAATACTTAAGCTCAGTAAAGCGAATGCACACCAATCCTAATCCGCTCAAACTATGTCAGAATGTTTTATTCTTTATCCTCTATCATTGTATTTAGTATAAATACTCTTGACTCATCCAGCTGGTTTTTCAAAAAGTCTTGTTTTTTTTTCAGATCTCAAAGCATTTCTGTTCAAAACCAATGATATATTTGGAGTCAGCGCAATAAACTATATCGAATGGCGTATGACACAAGACATTTTCTAATCAANGTCCGGGACTGTTTATTTGATCAATCGCTTGATCTTATTCGCAGCTAACCATCATACTAATGGCCGTTCCACTATCCGCAACCTGTGGACCCGCTTGGTAGCATCCAGCTTAGCCCCAAGTCTACATCGATATTAAAATTAAATAAAGTATGTTTTTAAAAATTCCTAATTTTATTGAAACTAATTATAAAATCTTTTTTTCCAGGAAAAACTACTAAATCTAAACAATTTTTCATTGTCCGGCGATTTGGAAATAAATTTCTATGATAAAGTAGTTATAGCACTTTTACATCGAATGACGAATTTAGAACAACTTAATTTACATTTTCATTGTGCTTGCAAAAAGAAACATTTTTTTTGATGGAAATGATTTGAGAACAAATATTTTAAATCATTTACCGCAATTAAAATCATTTGTATTTAATATTCGCTCATCAATTTATTCTATTGATCAAATTGATTTACCATCAAATGAATATATTTAACATACATTCAGAGAATTTAAACATAAAAAAAATTATTTCTATTGATTATTTTCCAGATTCAAATGCAGATGAATGTTATATATGTTCATATCCATTTACAATGATATGTTATGAACGTATTACAAATAATTTTTCAGGTGAATTATTTAAATCTGTTTGTGAAGTTGAATTATTTGATGAACGTTCTTTTGAACATGAATTTTTTCTTCGAATTGCTCAATCATTTCCATTTATGAAAAAACTAACTTTAATTAATAGTAAACCACAAAATGAGAAACAATGTAGAAAATTAAAACATAACAATGATGATTTATTAATTATTGAATATCCTCATCTTGGGTGTCGGTGTGTCGTATTAGTCTACTTTTCAGACATCCACACTCTCGTCTGATGTATTACCGAAGTAAATATTGCGATGATGTGTCGCAAGAGCACGAAGGGTTTTTTTTCTTTTTCTTCCGTTGTCACATGTCTCCTTACAAAAGAATAAAATAGATGATTCTCTTAAGTTTTACTTTACATTCGCATAAAAAAAGTGAAGCAGGATGGACGTCAACAATACGTCTCGTACTGATTCGCTGGAAAAGCTTTATGCTGAAGTAGCAAAAAAAACAGCAGCGGCAATAGTTAGAGAAGGACCACCACCGACTGTTAACAATGGACCGTCTATCCAACCTGCCCTTCCTCAATTGCCACGCTATAGACCACCACCACCACCACCAAGTCCTCCACGACGAACGTACGACGATGAAATGGAGTGTCGTATGTTTTTTCCAACATCGGGTCATATGGGATTCGATACGGTTAAATCGTCGCAGGAATTGCCTCCAATAGAAATAATTCGCGAAATGATACTTTATGAGACACGTCTTCGTTTGTCTGCTTCAATTCAAAAAATCATGGATGAATATCATACTGATGGGTGTGCTGTGACGTAAGTATAGTTTTATTGTTCTCCTTCATATTCAATTATTGAATTATTTCTGAAACATTTAGTTATGTTCATAATCTTATTCAACAACATGTAGTGGAACATTTCGGATATCGAGATCTGAATGCACTACGTACTGCTCTATTTCGTTTTCCAGATGATCCTATTGTTCAAGCAGCTTTTTACGGTAAATCTTTGGAAAAGAATTCTTCGTAAAATACTAATCATGAATAACAATCTTCCAAATCTGAATTAATTTAAAAAAGCTTTCTTTCTAAAATTTCTCCGATTTTCACATCTTGTTTTTCTTTTCAGTTAAGTACAACAAAATTTGTCAAGGTATAGTCGAACAGGGACAATGCGTTCGGGATGTTAATTTGTATAGTACAGATGGTCATCCAACGACACTTTTTTCGCAAATTACAGCTGGCCAACCTTTAATAATATTGGCCGGCTCAATGACTTGACCTCCATTTCGGGCAAATGTCGAGCGAATGAAGTAAGGATCTTATTTTTGAATCTAACCATGAAACATTATTTTACTTAGCGCGCTTGTTCGCTCACATGCGCCGAATGGTATAAGTCTCTTGGCAATTTATATTGCTGAGGCACATTCAAGAGATGAATGGCCAGTTGGGCAAACAATTTCATGTATTGATCAACCAAAAACACTTGCACAACGACTGGAGAATGCCGAACGATTCAAGAAGAATTTTAATTTCGAAATGCCTTTGCTTGTCGATGATATCAATAACAGTTTTCTCGATACGTATGGATCGTGGCCATTTCGTTTCTTTGTCATTTATGAAGGTGAATTGATATTGAAAGCAGAACCTGACAAAGAAACTTTTTTCTATAACTTGAACGAAATCGATAAGTGGATTTCAAACTTCTATGAATCACGTTCTCAAACCATTTAATATTTTTATTTGATTTCAATGAAGAGTACAAATGCTTTCTTCTTTCTATTTCCTATCATTCTATTTGATAATCTTCAACAAAACAAAACTTTAACATGAACTAATGATGACTGTGAATACAAATCACATTTTGTGAATGTTCATAGTTGGATAAATATATGTTAAGTTTTCTGAAGAATGATTTTGCGCGTAAAATGTGTTGAATAGATTTTGATGGAGATACAAAAAAAATAAAAACCATTTGTACGTTTCTAATTTCTTTTTATTATTTTTAATAAATGTTTGCTACAACTTCAACTTGAATCATTTGGGGTGTTCCATGCGGTATCAAACACAAAATACGCAAATAACGGATGGCCCATAAATAACTGCCCTCTTAGCATTTTTAAGATTTCTCCTCTATTATCGTTTTGATTAAAACATTCTTTCTTATCAAAAGATAGCACTTGAAATTCTCTACAAAATCATATATGGTTAGATCCTAAAACTGTTTTAGATATATTTAAAAAAAAGATGAAAAATAAAGACAGGCAAAAAAGTAACGGGTTGTACATAATGAATGACGCGCTTTGTATCTAATGTTTTCATTACTGCGCCCTATTAGAAAAACCAAATATACCAAAAGATGCAGCGTGAAAAGCTCTACAATTTACAAAGAATAAATTATAAAACGAGGGTATGAGAAAAACAAACGAATTCATCTTGTATCAAAAAAAATATACCATGGTCGCACTACCGAAATTTGCTTGCTCAAATGGTTGTCCATTTTGAAAACAAAAAGGGGAACTATGAAATAGGTGATCTTATGTAAATTGTAGAGCTTTTCACGCTGCATCTTTTGATATGTTCTATTTTCTAATAGAACGAAGTTTGTGATGAAAAAATTGGGATGCAACGCGCGGCCATTCATTATGTACAGCCCGTTACTTTTTACAGCTTTTTGCATGTCTTTATCTTTCATCTTTTTTCAAATATATCTAAAACAGTTTTAGGATCTAGCCATATATGATTTTGTAGAGAATTTCAAGCGTTGTATATTGATAAAAAAGAATGTTTTAATCAAAGGGATAACAGAGAAGAAATCTTAAAAATACTAAGAGGGCAGTTATTTATGGGTCACCAGTTATTTCTAAATGGCTTGAAACCTGCAGCATCTGTACATCTTGCAGACGTAATCTCGTCGAGGAGAACGCTTTCTTACATCTGAATAATAAATATATAAATATCGAAGATCGTATTTTCCATGTTTTTTTGAGTATTATCACAAAAATTAGGATTTGGTTGGTAATGATTCTTTACAAGACTCATTCAAATTAAATTCATAGATTATTAGCTATATATATCTATTATATATATACACTCTGATTACACCTGGTATAGACTACGTTTTGACAACGACACGTTGCAATTTTGTGAATACGTTCAGTGTATTATCATTTCATGCACACAAAACACCCAAAGCAACAGCGTGTATTCTGGGGCTAGAAAATATTTCGAAAAATGGAATTCTTAAGTATAGCGATGCATAGGGCGTGGGTATGGGTGTGGGTGGGTGTGGGTGGGGGTGGGTGGGGGTGTGGGTAGGTGTGGGTGTGGGTATGAATCTTCTCTTCGTGAAAGCCACACCCACACCCACACTCACACTCACATCCACACACCCACACCGACACTCACATTCACACTCACACCCACACCCTCACACCCACACCCACATCCACACCCACACCCACACCCACACCCACACCCCCACCCCCCCCCCCACCCCACACCCAGACCCCCACCCCAACCCCACACCCAACCCCAAAC